TCACCACAGAGCCGGGGCCGGTACAGGTCCCAGCGACACCAGTGCGTGAAATTAAACAGGAATACGGGTGAGGTTTATATTACTGTATTTAGACCGTCAATAACTTAAAAATACAGCGAAAATGTACATTATTTTTACATGTTCCATTTGGTTTGTATTCGGTAGACATTCTCTTTGTGTCTAAAATAGCCAGGAGGGGACAGTGCAAAGAGCCCGGCGGTGGGACGAAACGCTGATCGCTGGGATGGGTCTGGCGGTAGAAAGCGCATACTGACAAACAGATGCGGCACGAAACCAACAGTGGTAAATCTATTCCTTACTGCAACCCTGGGAGAAGAACCCGGGATCTTACAAAAGTACAGTTAGAAATAGTAACCCTGAGGAACAAAACCCAAACCAACCCAAAACGTCACATTATAAAGAACTCAAATGGTTATTTACATTCACAACCTCAAGATTAAACCCTTTTGGAGAACAAAGCCTATAAGCCCTAATGCTAAATAAATACCAAGTCTAGTTCTCAGGTAGTTTTCAAAGGTACTAAAATCAGAAGATTTTTTCATACCTCCAGACTACAAAATCTGGTATACAAAATTATGTCCAATCACTTTAAGGCTAATATACATTTAATGCAGGAAAACGATAGGCGACACCTGAAACGCAAGTATCTCGATGCTTAAAAAACATTAAATTAGGATTCATCCAGAAAACGGCAACTAAGGGATCATTTCTCAAATAATTCCTACCCAGAGCAAAATTTTGGACACCATGTCTGCAGATATTTAAATAACGTATTTACAGTTCAGCTGTTCCATGTACAATACGATTGAGCTGGTTTTTATTGTACAGTCCCATTTTTCACCATTTGTTTGCAATATACAAAATAGGATTTGATCCATTAAAAATACGTACAAAGAATTGTTTGCTGAAGACTCCGTGTACAAGCCATCTACTGCATTTTTCCTTTACTTGGTCAAACACATGTCCTAACTGATATCACTGTTTGCTCAATAGAAATAGTGGCTAAGAAATACCTCTTGGCGTGATGAGATACCATCGATTTAACAGGCCTATGTGTGCTGGGACATACCATTCACTAAACTCCTAAGTTGCTTTACTACAGTCTCTATTAGCTTCTGCTTGTCACGATCATTCTTCCTGAACTGAGCAAAAATGTTGTTCTTTTTGCTAGAGTCTTTCATTCTGGAGAAATAAAAAAGCAAATGACACAGACGCGTTAGAAACATAATTTGAGAAGGAAAAATCCGACTATTTAAATAGGTTTACTTTTGTTCCTCTTTTGATCTCTCTGCTAATAAGAACTGAAAGATTACAAAACCCGTTATCTATGTGTTCTTAAATTAAACTTCCGCAATGCGGAACTCGTTTTAGCAAATATTGCTTCACAAATTGCCCGTAAGTATTAAGCAAATATCACTTCGGCAGGAAACTGGCCCTACCAATTGCCTTAGGAGAGAAGCAAACCAGAAAACCCGCTAGTATCATCCGCTTCCATGGTAAGCTCAGACTCAGCGAATGCGCGTGTTTTGTTCACCGTCAAATTACCCGATATCGTTACTGCTGATCTCCCGTATAAATGGCTTTAAAAACGAAATTCGGGAAAGAAAATAAATTGAAGCAACAATATTTTGTAACAATATAGGCGATACGTACCCTCTGTGAACTCTGCACAAGGCATATTCATCGCAGGCAGGAGAGGAAAGAAAACACCGTTAGAAAATGCCTACAAATCACAGTATTTTTTGATGCGGTTTTTAAAAGCAGGTTGACGCTCGGCTGGCGGCAACGCGCCCTCCCCAGCCCCGCCGAAACGCTCGCACCG